AATCCCTTCATCTCAAGGGATGCTCGGAGCTCTAGCCGGCCCTGCTGCCCCCTCCCTTGCTGTTTCTGATGCCTTCCTGCCTCTCCCCAGTTTCCCACAGTCGCTATGACTCCTCCAAGTCACGGACATACATAGCCAACGGTACAGGCTTCGCCATCCGCTATGGGACAGGCAGTGTCAAAGGCTTCCTCAGCCAGGATGTGGTCATGGTGAGAGCACACCCTGAATTTTGGAGCAGTTGGCTCTGCTCCCCTTATGAGTACAACCATTTACCCAAAAGTATGGGAGCTCTGCTGTGTTTTACCCCCACCCCCCTCCCCATCTCCATGCAGAGACCCTTGTGCCCTCCCCAGGTATCGGACATCCCCATCATCCAGGTTTTTGCTGAGGCCACGGTGCTGCCTGCATTCCCCTTCATCTTTGCCAGGTTTGATGGGGTCCTGGGCATGGGTTACCCCAGCCAGGCCATCGATGGCATCACCCCTGTTTTCGACCGGATCCTCTCCCAGCAGATCCTCAAGGAGGACGTGTTCTCTGTCTACTACAGCCGGTGGGTTTCGAGATGGGGAGGGGGTTGCTTTGCAGGGCTGGGTATTGCAGCCTGAGAGTGCTGGGGATGCAGCTTGGACTGTGAAGAAGCTATGGCTGGGGCTATGGGACCCAGGCTGGGTGGAAGTTGCCTGCAGGAGCTGGGCTGGAATGAGGTAGCACAGGAAGCAGATGCATGCCTAAGTAGAGACTGTAGCTCTTTATCCCATCTAAAGATGGATTCTTTAATAATGCATGAGTCCCAAGGATGCTAGCTGCCATTGCAGCCTGGTCGGGTTGCTGCTTCAGTGCCCTTGGCACTCTGGGATGCAGCCACCCACAGACCACAGGCTCACAGAACATCTCTCTCTTTGCAGAGCTTCAAAGTAAGAAGATGAAAAGCACGAACTCTCTGGAGGCAGCACCCACTGACAGCATCACAGACCCCAGTGTTGGCTCCTATGAGCTCCAGCCCTGGGCTCTGCCCTCTCCTGTCCTCAGCACCCACCTGCTCCAATCCTCACCCCTGTGGTCTCGCATCCCCTTCACTAACCCAGGGTTTCTCCTGCTTTGCCACTGCTCACTAGGCTAACAGCACTGCATGCTCCCTGCCCCAGGAACCCCAAATGAAGGAGGGTCACCCTGCTGTGCTTTGCACCCTAGGAATGCTCCTCTGAAACCCGGTGGGGAAATCATCCTGGGGGGCACTGACCCAGCCTACTACACTGGGGACTTCCACTACCTGAGCATTAGCAGGAATGGATACTGGCAGATCAGCATGAAGGGGTGAGGATGTGTGGCACCTCGTCCAAATACTGTCCTGGGCACACAAATGTGGGTTTGGGAGAATGGGGCTGTGGGCAGTGGGATGCTTTCTACTCGAGGAGGGAGAGGGAGTGGGGTCAGTTCTTCCAGCACAAAGCTGCACCACGATGATGCTCAGCTCATCTCACAGTGCTGGGGAATGCAGAGGGGGAGGCACTGTGGGTTGATTCCACTTGGAAGCTGCGGTGGAAGAATTTAACCCCTGTCAGCCTGCAGGAGCAGTGAGAGATGCTGAAACAATTCTGCTTTGTTTAGCTTAAAAAAAAAATAAAATAAAATAATAAAATAAAATACCACCGCCAACACCAACAAAAGATACATGATGAAGCCTTGCTTTCACATTTGAGGAACTCAAAGGGAGTGATCCCAGAGGGTTTGTGTGCTGGAGGCACTGGGATCAGCATGTGCTCTGGCTTCTGAGCTGTGAATATCATGAGAGCTCAGGATTCCCTTCCGTCCCAGGGTGTCTGTAGGGGCTGAAATCTTGTTCTGCAAGGAGGGCTGCTCAGTGGCCATTGACACCGGAGCATCCTACATCACTGGCCCAGCTGGCCCTGTGTCTGTGCTGATGAAAGCCATTGGAGCAGCAGAGATGACTGAAGGAGAGGTGAGCAAAGCCCAGCTGCACCCCTATGCTCTCCCCAGCCCATCCCCGGGCTCAGCACCGCCTCCTCCTCCTTCTGCAGTACGTGGTTGACTGTGAGAAGGTCCCCCAGCTGCCCAACATCTCCTTCCACCTGGGTGGGAAGGCATACACGCTCAGCGGCTCAGCCTACGTCCTCAGGGTAAGCTGTGCCCTGTGTGAGGGCGGGGATGGGACACTGGTGGGGATGCACTTCTGGAGCATCCCTGCAAGCAGTCACAGAGCGATGCTGCTCACTGTTTCTCCACATGCAGCAGAGATGTGCAGGTGAGGCAGAGCAGCCCACTGCTGCTCCCTTGGGTTGGGGGATGGAGCCAGCAGAGCCAGGCATGGGTATCCCTTTGTGGTAGAAGGGAAATCGATGCCAAGCACAGGGCATGCACTGAGCTGGAAATCTCCCTCCTGCCACCTCTACCATAAAGTCTGCTCCTCTCCGCAGCAAACCCAGTACGGGGAGGACATCTGCGTGGTGGCTCTCTCAGGGTTGGACGTCCCCCCTCCAGCTGGACCCCTTTGGATCCTGGGTGCCAGTTTCATCGGGCATTACTACACCAAATTCGATCGTCGCAACAACCGCATCGGCTTCGCCACCGCCCGCTGACCGCCGGGGGGGGCTGGGAAGCAGCTGGGAGGCAGGGAGCATCGCTGGGGAGAGAGCGATTCAACACGCAAACGAGAGCAGAGCTTCCTTAAAGCACAGCCACCTCCTCTCTCTGCACTGAAGCAACTGCAAAGCGTCGTGTTCTCCCACTCCAAAACCCCCGCTCTGCTTCCCGAGAGCCTCCGCTGCCACGGGGGGAGAGCAGAGCCTGGGAGCATCGCACCGAGGAATCAAAGCAGGATCCTGCAGCTGGAGCTGCACCTCCCCGGGCTTTGCAGTGTGATGTGCATTGCTGCTGGCTGGGGCAGAGGAGCTTTGCAGGTTGCAGACGCTGTGGTGTGATGTTTGGTTGCTGTTCTTGTTGTTCTTAGATGGGAGGCAAATTAATTGGTATCATTAGGCTGCTTACAGTGATGGTTCTTTCAGCTGGTGTTAACCCTGCTCCTATCTGTAATTTAATATTAAACGACCCCAGAGCAGCAGGAAGCTGAGCGTTCTGCAAGGAGGGAGAAATGAGGAAAAGTTCCCTTATGGGAACTGGGGAAGAAGTGTTCTCTGCTGGGATCCACCACTGTGCTGCACTGCAGGCTGCTCTTCCCTGTTATGTTGGAGAGCTGAGAACCAGCTGCAAATCTGAGCCCTTCCCAAAGCCAAGCAGCTGGCAACGCTCTCATCTCCCCCTGCTTGTGAGCACAGCTGAGCCCTGCGAGCACACCTGTAACGAGCACAGCACTGTGCTGCAGGAGCTTCTCCTCCTCACCCTGCCACCAGCAATGGCTGCTGATTTCCCAGAGTGATGGTTGGGAGCAATTCTCCTTCCAGCACAGCATGGGATGCTGCCAACCAGGCTGCAGCCTTGCCAGCTTCCTTTCCTGCAAGGCCCAGGCTCTGAGCAATGGCCAAGTGTCAGTTTTTGCCCTTGGCAGGGTGTTGGGCAGCGTGTAGCCAAGCTTGAGTATTCAAACCTCTTACCACCAAGCTGCACATCCCTGGGATGGGAAAGGCACCCTGGGTGCCCCTTGCTGCTTTCCATTCCCTTTCTGCAGCACTGTAAGGCAGGGAGAGCAGTGAGGATGGCTCTCTGCGTGGGGGCAGAGGGAAGTGACCCCCCCCCCACCACCCGCCCTCACCCGGTGCTTCCTGAGCACTGTCACAGCGTTCAGCTGCTCTGCAGCACAGGAAACCCAGGGAATGGGGAGAAGCAGCCGCGGAGGGGGAGGGGGGTCTACACGGGTCAGCTCTGGAGCCACAGCCTTACAGCCATAGGGAGATGCTTGAAAGCTGTGGGGCCCATCCGAGACAGGATGCATCTTTGGGTCTGGTTCTGCTCCTTTTCAGTGCAGTCGCTCGGAGCAGCAGGAGAGAAAAACGTTTGGGCTGCTGCTGGCCCTTCAGCCTGCCCATTAGCACCTCTAATAGCCTGTGCCAGGGCCATTTCCTGGTGCCTGCTGTGCAGAGCTGGCTGCAAGGCACTGCTAACCCGCAACTGCCCCGTATTAACACTTGTGATCGTTACAGGCGAGCAATTAGGCCACGCTCGGCCCAGCAAAGAGACCGGAGCAATTACGGCCATCCTATTAAAACTGACAGCGCTCGCTCTATATATAGCAACGCAGGGAACTGGTTTATTTTCTTCCCCTTCCTTGAACGATTTTCCCCAAGTCTCCATGGTCCATTTAGTCGGCTGCAGCCGCAGCCAGCTGTAAACTTTGGAGGGGGCATTCTGTGCTCGGAGCCGTTGTTATTTGCCATGATAATGAACTGAGGCTGCAGCGGTGTCAGTGGGGCCGGCGGGTGGGTGATGCTCTGCCTTTAACCACTCAACCTCTCTGCAGCTCGCCTGTAAATCCCAGTTGATGTGAGGTGAATGTATTGCCTGGGTCCGGAGAGGACAGCACAGGGAGAACTGGTGGAGATTGTAAGATTGTAGAATAGGATTTTTTGATTTGGAAGGGACCCAGATATCAGCTTTTGGGTTGGATGGGACCCACTGAGTGCAGCTCCTGGTGGAGATTACAGAACTTCAGAATATTTTGATTTGAAAGAGATGCAAACAAATCACTGAGTCCAACTTCTGAGCTGGAAAAGAATCCAACTCATGGATGGGCATCACTCAATCCCCAAATCACAGGATGCCACCCAGTTATCTCAGGGCACAACCTGCACCTCGGGGTGCCGCATCCCCTCCCAACCCCATCCTGACCCCTCGCCGCAGCCCTGCTCTAACCTCCTTCCCCTCACATTTAAACCCCGATCCCAAAGCCCAACCCTGATCCCAAAGCCCAACCCTGATCCCAAATCCCCCAGCAACGTCAGCATTGCCGAGGGGTTTCGGAACGCAGCCCGCAGGTGCGCGGGTCGGAGATGCCCGGAGGCGGCGAGCGCAGCGTTCGGAGCGCTCTCCGGTGCGGGGCCGGTGCGGGTCCCGCTGACCTCACAATGCGGGCGGGCGCTGGTGCGGGAGGCGGGCGGCGGGAGGCGGGCCGGTGACTCATGGCTTCCCAACGACGGGCGGCTCCTCCCCGCGGCCGCCGGCCCCGCGGCAGCCCCCGGCACATGGGCCGCGGGTCGGGGCGTTCGGAGCCGGGGATGGCCGTACCGCCCGGCCGCTGCCCGGATTGCTGGGATACGGAACGGGGAGGCGGTGGAGGTGGAAGTCGTGGGGTTCCCGGCGTGCTTCAGCTCGGTGTGTTGGTGGATGAAGGAGACGTGCTGCCCGGAGCGCTGCGGCTGATGCGGGAGCTGAGACCCAGCTGGGAGCCGGCCAGGGTGAAGACCAAGGTATGAGGGGTGCACGGAGGGGGTCCCGTGAGGGGGGTTGTAGGATGCTGTAAGGCCTGACGTGGAGGGTATGACACACCGGTGCCCCGTTCTCTCAGGGGGTGAGCAGGTGTGCAAAGCTCTCGCACACCGAGCCCCCACCCCACCCCCCCCACAGGCTTTGGGGGCACCGTGAGGAGCCACGGAATGGGGACGGTGGGTGCAGAAGGTCTCTCGGGGCTGGAGGCTGGGGGTCGTGCTGTCAACCCCCGGCATTACCCCACAGGTGCTGCACTGCACCGGACACCACATGTCACAGCTGCAGGACTTGTGGCTTAGCAGCAGGCTTGCACTTTTACCAGGTCGGTTCCTTTGCACAGAACAAGTTGAGATGGGTGCTGACATCCTGCATGGAGCAAGGCTCACCTGTCCCAAGCTGGCACAGCAGTTCCTGGGACTTAGCAGCTCCCGTCCTCTTCTTCCAAGCCTCTACCCAGGTGTGGGGTGCAGAAAGGAGGCTGCAGGGGGCTGCAGTGCCATGGGATGTCTTGGGATGGGCATGGAGCAGGCAGGCAGCAGAGCTGGATGCACTCAACCACGCGTACGTGTGCATGCATGTCCTCTGAAGGCACACGCTTCCTGTGTGCCTGGAGTGCCATTAAAAATGTATTAATAGCCAAGTGTAATTAAATCCAAGAAGCTGCAGGAAAATACATACGAAAGGGCAGATGGTAAGGGACAGGAAGCTTGGAGTTTGAGTTCCTCAGGCTGCATAGTTGGGAGGGCAGGAAATGTCCCAGGAGCTGTGCAGCACCTCGCACAGCTCTGTGGTGCTTATGGGGAGCCTGGAGGGAGCAGGACCACAGCTTTGTGGTGGTCAGGTTCTGCCCAGGAATGGAGAGGAGTTTGCGTTCAGCAGCAGCTTGCGTGTGCTGTGAATGTTTTTAATTTAGAAAAGAAAAAGAAAAAAAAAAAAAAAAGAATAAAAGAAAACTTAGGAGACATCAAGGGGAAATCCTCCAGTTGCATTTCTCTCTGCAAGAGGTATTGGGAGAGGATTGGAGCGGTGCGTTGCTCTCAGCTTGTTCCTATTAGTGTTCCTGTTAGCTTCCCTCTGCAGACTGGAGCAGTGCCTGGTTCACACCGCCTCGGTGTGCAGTGTTGGGGCACAGCTGCCTTCAGGGACTGTACCAGGCTGTGCCTGCAACATGGAAAACCCTCCCGGCGCTTGGGACAGGGTGCAGAAAACAAGGAGGTCGGGTGCCTGGCCTCATCCAACTGCCAGGCTCCTCAGCCCCATGCACTGCATGTTGTGCTGCTCCTCATCCCTTTGGTTCTGCTCCCTGGGCAGCAGTATCTCCATGCTGGTGTGGTGTCACAGTGACTCAACCAGCATAAACACCTCCAAAGGGAAGCAGCAACACTGAAAGGATTCAGGCACGGCAGAGGGCTCTGCTGTCACTCCTAGGATTTGTTTTAGCCTAACTTTGGCAGCAAGATGCTCTGCTGCAATAAGGGCCAGCACTGCTGTGATGTGCTTGGTGCTCAAGGAGAGCCAGCGTGGGCATGGGGACACAGGGCTGCAGGAAGGGGGCAAGCAGACACAGAGCTGCACCTCTTCAGTATCTTTGCACAAGGCTTGGGGCTGCTGCACAGCTCCTGGTGCACTCACACTTGCTTTCCCCTTACACACACACCGTGCATAGGCATGCAGGTTGCTGCCGAGCCATGTGCGTGCAAGTCCCCAAAATCAATGGCCTGGAATTCAAAGGGGATAAGGCTCTGTAATCCCATTAAATCCACTGGAAAGGGCTGATGGGGCCATGAGGCAGCAAAACCAGGCGCTGCATGGATCTGGCATGGAGGCAGCGCTGAGCACCTCGAGGAGGAGCTGCTCACCTGTAGATGTGCACGTGCAGCTGGCAGACATCAGCACAGCGCTGCAGCATCTGCTGCATGCTGCATTTCTGGAGCCTGGCAGGGCAAGGAGAGCTGAAATCGTGGTGGGAACACAGATTGGCCGGGTAGGAATTGCAGCTTGGTTGCTTGCAGCATCACCCTGCCCAGCTGCGGGTGTGAGGATGATGGACACCGCAGCTCGTTACGCCTGGCTGTGTAATTCCAGTGCAGAGTTTCCCTCGGCAGGCTGCATAGGGAAGCCCTATATATAGGCACCCCACATAGGAGCGTGAGTTGCCGAGTGAGCCATCTAAAATTAGCTGTCCCACCCCCGAGCATCGCTGCTCCCTACCACGCACCCTCCCAGCATCGCACCGGCTCCGTCTCGCCAAACAGCGAGGAGATGAAGGGAGAACACACCGGGGATGCTTCCCCTCCGTGGCTGAGCATCCTGCCTTTGTGATGGGAACCCAAACCCCTCGTAATACCCATAGAGATGGCGGCTGCTCCGTGCTGCAGCCCAGGGCAGGGTGAGGACCCCGGCGCGGGAGGAACGGGGCCCGCATGTGCGCGGGCAGGCGGCCAAATTGGGGCTCTGGGAGAACAAAACTCTCTTTCCATCTGTGAGGAACCATCAGAGCAATGACAAGAGACGTCCCCAGCAGAGACGTCCCTGCCTATCAGCGACTCGTGGCTCCGCGGGGAGGGTCAGGAGGAGGAGATGGGGTGGTGGTGTTTGCTCAGCCTTGTTTGCAGTGCTTTTGGTGGTTTCTGCCAAAAGGGGTTTTTTTGGGACCGGTTCCCAGGGTCGCTGAGATGCCGGTTGTGCTTGCAGCACATCTCACTGCCCCTGAGCAACAAGGTGAAAAACACCAGTGGGTTTCCCCCCAGAAACACTCACAGTTTGGTGCAGCTGAAGCCTTATGCCCATGCAGGTTGTGCCTGACCCCATGCAATCTTACGCCACCTCCCATAGGAGCTTTTCCTGCCATCCTGCTGCTGCGTGTTCCCCTTTCCCCATTGCCCATAACTGCCAGTGCTGTATCTGTGCCATGAGGAAGGGGGTTCCCAGTGCCCACCCCGCATGGCAGGGACGTGCGGGCATCGCTCTGCCGCCCCTTCTCCCCTGCAGCTCTTCACCGACGGCATCACCAACAAGCTGGTGGCCTGCTACACGGACGAGGACATGGCAGATGCAGTGCTGGTCCGTGTCTATGGCAGAAAGACGGAGCTCTTCGTGGACCGGGAGACAGAGCTGAGGAACTTCCAGGTGCTGCATGCCCATGGTTGTGCCCCTGACCTCTACTGCGCCTTCCAGAATGGGCTCTGCTATGAGTTCCTGCCTGGCATCGCCTTGGGGCCCGACCACGTGAGGGACCCCCGCATATTCAGGTGTGTGGGACACCCAGTGCTGAGTCATATGGGGTCAGGGAGGGAGCAGGGTGAAGTGGGACCGTGTTTTCAGTTCTCTTCCTCTCTGCCTTTGCTCCGAACTGGCACCCAGGTGCTTCAGTCCTATCCTTCCCTTGCTCAGATCTGGGTGGTGATGGGGTCAGGATCACCAGTGCTGTGCACCCAGGTGGGGCCGAGTCGGCAGCTGTGATTTTATGCAGCTTTTTGTGAAAGGAGACTGCGTGAGGATCGTGGCTTCTGTCTGAGCTCACCTGGAAAGGTGAATGCTGTCCCAGATGAGCGTTTGAGACCCTTCAGAGGCTCAGGACTTGCATGGAACAGGGAGTTAGCTAGGCTGTGCTTGTGTTTTGGGGCATCTCTGTTGAGCCAGCTCCATTCCCCAGCTCAGACTTAATCACACCTCTGCTCGTTTCCAGGCTGGTGGCACAGGAGATGGCCCGGATGCACGCCATCCACGCCAACGGGAGCCTCCCCAAGCCCATCCTCTGGCAGAAGCTGCACAAATACCTCACCCTCGTGAAGATGGACCTCAGCCCAAAGGTACCCAACCCCAGGTAAAGGCAGAGGGATCCCAAAGAGCCAGGCTCTGGCTTGGGCACCCACTGCCCATCCATCTGTAGGTCTTCCTCCTATGGGACGTGGGTCTCCAGGTAAAGCCTCTGCTGGAGTCTGGGCTTTGTGAGCAGGGGCTTGGGGAGTGCTGGCCACGTGTGGTTTGTGGTTCCTGCATGAGCAAAGTTGTGGACAAACCCCTGAGAGCTTGGGGTGCTCATGGGATGGAAGCATGGAAGCACCCCTGCCTGCTGCAGGAGGAGCTCTGTGCTATGGTTGCACAGCACCTGGGCAGCATCTGACCTGAGCCATAAGACACCCATGTGCTGTGATAACCCTCCTCCTCCCTGTGAATCTGGCTTGTGTTTTATGCCATCATTAGAAAAAGATGGAGCCCAAAGCCCTTCTTACAGTGGGATCTGAGCAGCAGGGTTCTGCTAGCACTGCTGGAAGGGATGCTGGCAGCCCAGCCCCATTTCAAAGTGCTTCATCCCATTGCTGGGAGGGCGATGCCATGCTGGGAGCCCAGGTTCGTGTCAGGTGAGTGAGGGCACGTCAGCTGTGTGGAAGGATACAGGCAGCCCCCAGAGGTGGCGGAGGTGAACGAACCCCAAATCAGGCAAATAATTAACCCTGTCCCTGGGATGGGACGCAGGGCTGTTCCCAGTGCTTTACCCAACTCTGCACCTTACCTGCAGCCAATGTGGTAATTATTAACGTGCTCCATTCTTGGAACTGCAGCTGCAGAGGTTACTGAGTATGGGGCCTGGAGGATTCAAAAAATTCCCATCACCTTTGGGTCGGTCTTAGAGATGAAGGGAATGGCTGAGGCTGTGCCATGTGCCCTGGGGAACACAGAGGATGCACCAAATTACCCGAGCTGAGCTTTCCTACCAATGACTGCTCTGTGTCATTAATGAACTCATTTATAACATGCACAGAGGGAAGTGGGGGCAACGCTTCCCCTCTGCCCCTATGGGAGCTCCCCGTGAGCAGAAGTGATTCCTCCCCTTCCACTTCCCCAGCCTCCACCAGGATGTGCCCAGCTTGGAGATGCTGGAATACGAGCTGGCCTGGATGAAGGACACATTCTCACAGCTGGGCTCCCCGGTTGTGCTGTGCCACAATGACCTGCTCTGCAAGAACATCATCTACAACAGAGCTCAAGGTCGGTGGCAGCAGCAGAGAGGTCACTTTGTTCCCCCCTCCCTGGTGCTGATGGCTCCTGCCCCAACCCATTGCTTTGCTTTGCAGAGCACGTCCGCTTCATCGACTACGAGTACACTGGCTACAACTACCAGGCTTTTGACATTGGGAACCACTTCAATGAGTTTGCAGGTGAGCTGGCTCCTATCCGTGGCTCTGAAGCTCCCCCTGGGTTGGGGCAGCTCCCCACTATCTCCCCATCTTGAAGGAGAGAGCTGCATCTCTTGAGCCACGATGGGAAATGGACGCAGTTCCTCGGGTGATGTGCAAGGCAGCATCTCTGCTTGCCTTGATCCACTGGTTGAGGTGTGATGACTGCAAGAACTTAGCTCTATCTACCACGTGGGTGCCTCAAATCAGAGGGCTGAACACTCTGTGCGAGCCCAGAGCTGCAGTGGTTTCACTCACAGGGGGAAAACACCCTGGCCACATCAATGTGATCTGAAAGAGCCATCCTGTGGCCACCAATAGCCCCTCTCCTCTTGCAGGTGTGAAGGAAGTGGACTACCGCCTGTACCCCAGCAAGGAGACCCAGCTGCAGTGGCTGCACTCCTACCTGCAGGCTTACAAGCAGCTCACCCAGGGGGGGCAGGGAGGCAATGGGGTCACCGTGTCCGAGAAGGAGCTGGAGGCTCTCTATGTGCAAGTGAACAAGTTTTCTTTGGTGAGTGCTGGAGGTGGGAAGGAGCTGACTTTGGTCCCTGTGTTCTCCTTTTCACTCGCAGGGTTCAGGTGCTGCTGGGGTGAGGGCTGGGGGCTGCCCCACAGAGCCTGGCTGTGCTCGGAGGTGCTGAGCTCCAGGGCAAGGTCAGAGATAGTGCTGGGTGAGGACACTGGGATTGCAGATGGGATGGTTGGCAACCTGAGCAGCTTGCTTTTGCCAAGAGCGTTTACGAAACTGAGTTTCAGAAAGGCTGAAGCAGGAGCTGTTTCTGTGTCTGACAGCTGAATTGCAGCCCTTTGAACTGAGGCAGGGAGCTGTGTGCTGGGACATCTGTGCTCTGCCCTCACGCCTTCCAGCAGAGCTGTTTGCTGCAGCAGGGACCTTCCCCAGCATGACCAAATCTCATGTTGGTTGTGGGGTCAGGAGGGATTTCCAGCAGCAAAGCTGTACCCTGGGCACTCTGCACTGCTGCTCAGCATCCTTCCTCACCTGGGCTGCCATCCACCTTTGGAGCTTATAGAAATCCACACCTGGGCTGTGCTGCTTCTGATCCCTGTTCTGTCTGTTGCAGGCATCCCATTTCCTCTGGGCATGCTGGGGCCTGATCCAGGATAAATACTCTACCATAGACTTTAACTTCTTAAGGTGAGTCCATGCTGAGCTCTGCAGAGCTGAGGGGACCAATGTCCAAGTGCTCAATACTGGATGGATCCCAAAACCCTGGCTGGGTGCGTGTCTCACGTCCATCCCTCTTTTGGCAGATATGCAAAGCTAAGGTTTAGGCAGTACTTCAAGATGAAGCCGGTGGTCACAGCCCTGCAGATCTCCAAATAGCAGCTCTGGCCCTTGGGACCCTGAGTTATTTTGTCCTTGCTGCATCCACAGCCCTGGCACCTCCCTCGCCCCCTCCCCGCCCAGGGGTGAGGGCAGGTCCCGATGGTGGGAAGGGAGAAGAGGAGCTTTACCCCAGCCACCGATTAAAGGAGACCCTGGACATACCCAAGACTGGACCATGAGATGCTCAAGAGGACCACGGAGGTCCCTGCCTACACAAGGACATCTCACCATCGCCTTACAGCGAGCCTGGCTCAGCCCTGCTGCCTGACAGCCCTGTGTCCTGCTGGCATTGCTGCTGCTGGGCCTGGCACTGGGAGGAAATGGGACCCCTCATCCATCCATTCAGCACTGAGCACTGCTGGGTTGCTTTAGCTGCCCCGTGCTCACACTGTGCCTGTTGGCTTCACTGTTCCCTCTTGTTCCCCTCTGCCCTGCCTGCTCAGCGCTCTCGCCCCCCAAAACCACCCTCCGTAGGTCTGTGTTCACCCCAGAGCTGGGGCTGTATCTGAGCACGGGACCCTTTTCCAAGTGGGATGGGTGCTGCTGTCACCCAGCTCCAGGCTGAGCCACGGTGCTGCAAGACAGCGAAGGCAGCATCCTCAGCAGTGCTTCAAGCACTGCTCTGTGCTCAGCCTGGGGCTGCACCTCCCCACGGCCCCATTAGCTTCACTTGCAGCATCCCACAGAGCAGCAGGGGGGCTCCCAGCCCTGTCACCTTCTGTATCCCCCAGTACTGGGGGGCTCAGTGCAACCCCAGGTATGGAGTGTGGCTGCCCCATCCCTGCACTCTTCCTCCCATCGGTGCAGCTCTGGAGGCCCACATGAGATGCCCTGGCAGGAGATGGATGGAGCCGAGCTGTCCCTAGAAGTGGGCACAGCTTTGTCCTCAGCTGGCATTTGGCTGCTGTCCCCTCTGTAAGGATGAACCCACCCCACTGAGCACTGCCCAGCTCATGACAGTGGTGGTGCATCAGGTGGGGGCTGGGGGACACGGTCACTTGTCTCAGCTGCTTGGCAGATGCCAAGGGACAAAGCGTCTGCCCCCTCTGCCAGGGCACAGGAACCTAACCCAGCAAAAACCCGCGACTTTTGTTGCATCTGGTGTTTGTTTTGGTGCACAATAAAAGCTGCTGGTAGCTGGAAATCGGGGGCCGATGGATCTGTGGTGCCTGGTTCAGGACTTGGGTTAATGCAGAAGCTGAGGGGGCCTCTCATCACAGGGTGTGCTGCTGCTGCTGGACCCCTCTGGCAGAGCAGTGTCCCTGCTCCAGGCAGGGCAGTGTGGAGCATTTGGCTGCAGGAGGCAGCGGGCAGAGGAGGCTGAGCCCCAAATGTGGGGATGAGACAGGTAAGAAGGGAGGGCAGGGGAAAGAGCAGTGGAACAGCACAGAGAAAGCATCGTATAGAACAGGAAGAGGGGTGGGAAGGGGGAAGGAAACCCCCAGATCTCTACACTGGAAGCCTGGATCCCAAGCCCTTGGCTTGGCCAGACCCAGTCCTGAGCTCAGCTCCAAAACATCATCTTTATTATGCCAAGGGGTGGGGAGGGCAGTTTGTAAACAAGTATGTGAAATATACAGGTTAAGTTACTCGTCGTCTTATTAACAAAATAAAGCTCTATCTATATTTACAGTCTTAAAAAAAAAAAAAACAAAAAAAACAAAAAACAGAGAGAGGAAGAGCTGCCCCTTCGGTGCGCGCGGCCGCAATCCAGCCTGAGCTGTGCCATGGGGGGAATAAATAAAGCACTGAGAAAAGGGGGGGGTGGGCAAAGAGAAAGGACCCCCACTGGCTGCTGTGGTCCTGGAGTGCGAGGGAGCAGCAGTGCTGCTGCAGCCCCTAGCAGAGGTGTGATGCGTGCAGCACGGCTGTGCCTGGCTGCTGCCACACGGCGGTGCATGTGCTCCGTGCTGCTCCCAGTGCTGCATGCACAGCCAGTGCTGCACCCACGCTGGGTGCACGGGTGCTGAGCAGAGCCAGGTATTATTGTGTTTTTGTGTTTTTTTTACCCTTTAAATCGCTGCTATTTTTTCCTCTCCCCCCCCCTTCTTTCCCCCCTCCTCTGCTGTTTCCACGATGCATGGGGTGAAGCCTGCGCTCACAGAGCTGCGGTGCAAAGGAGGCACTGGGGGATGCGTGGACCCAGAGCAGTGCTGTGCACTGGGGCTGCCCAAGGGCTGGGGCACAGCCAGGGAACAGCACCCGCTTTATTTACAAAGTGGGACAGAGCGTCGGGAGCATAAAGGGCTCCTCAGTGCCCTTGGCTCGCACTCGGGTCAGGCAAGAGCTAAAAAAGGCTCCATGGGAATTCACTGGCAGGCTGTCATGGGGAACTGCAGTGGGGTGGAGAGGGCTGGGCTGAGCTTACGGGTGCCCCCACGACCAGGGGGTGGCAGGTGGCATAGGTAGGGAATACAGGGCTGGAGGTTTCCCACGTCCCAATCATCTCCTCAGGTCCTTACTGGGGGCTGCAGGGCTCCTGAACCATCAGCTCTCAGCCAAGCTGCAGAGCCCCATTCCCTACAGCACCAATGGCACCACCACGTACCCAAACCCCCACCATCACCCACCACTGCTCATCTCATCCCTGCAGCTGCTGGCTCTTTGCCTGCACCGCATCGGGGGTCACCAGCGCCTGGTGCCAGCCAGCCCCGCTGCCCCCCACCCGGCCCTTCAGTCTGTCAGCACCACCAGCTCTCCATCGCTCTTCTCCTCTCCCTCCGAGTCCTCCTCCTCGCTGTAGCGATACATCTCACCATCCGCCACCGAGTGCCCGTCGTCCCCTCCGCCGTCACCTTCCTTCAGGCTACGAGCGCTGACGATGACGGGCATGCTGGGGTCCACACCACGGGGCAGGTAATGCTCCATCAGCGGGGACGGCAGCTGCATGCCCACCGGCCGAGGGTACAGCACATCCGAGGAGCCGGGGGGCAGCTGGCTGCCCTGAGGACTGTGGGATAAGGGGGAGGATGGGGAGGGGATGCCATCAGCTGGACGGGAGCGGGGCGAGCCCCTCGCTGCCCCCAGGGCATCCCTCTGTGTTACCCTATTAAATAGCCCTGCCGGGCATCCTGCCGCCGGTTCCTCATCAGCGCTTTGTATTCCCCCACGCGCAGCCGTTTCCCCTCCACGATGCACGTGCGTTTGGGTCGGGGTTTGTACTTATAGTCGGGATATTTCTCCAAGTGCTGCCGGCTCAGCCGGGCTTGTTCCTCGTAGTAGGGCTGCTTCTCCTGGTTTGTCATCGATTTCCAGCGGGAACCTGAGCACAGAGGAGCCACAGGGTGTGCTTAGCCACTGCCGCACTGCAGCTTCCCCATGGAGATCTGTGTGCACGACCCCATGGTAAGAGGGGATTCACGCTCACGGGGGCTGGATTTAGATGATCTTTAAGGTTCCTTCTGACCCAAGCCATTCTGTGGTTCTAGGAATGTTCACACACTGCCCTATGCACGCTACACTCGAATGCGCAACAGTGGGACACATCCCCAGATTATGGGGCCCTCAAGGAGCCAGGGCTGGGGTTGGTGGCACCCCTGGGATCCCTGCCATGCATGGTTCCCAGTCCTGACCTTCTGGGGCACCTCTCCAAATGGGTGCTGTGGCTGCAATAGGCTGTCCTGGTGTGCGATTCGGATTCCCGCAGTGGCTGACCTGCATTGTCACCTCCACCTGCACCCAAGGCAGGAGGGGAAAGGGGAGCACAGCACAAGGCTGCTGGCTGGGGAGGGGAAGGATGGGATCAGGGGCTACAGCCAGACCCATGTCTGGGTCTGGGGAGTGATGGTCACACTGGAGGGATCGCATGATTGCACCATGGGGTGAATCTGGGATGGCTCAGCCCAAGAGAAAGTGCAGGGGCTTTAACTGCAGCTTCCACTGCTTAAAGGGCATATGGGGAAGGGTGAGCCCAGCTCTCCTCACAGGTGCACCTTGAAGGACAAGAGGCAGCAGATGAAAGGCAAATTACAGCTGGGCATGAGGAAACAATTCATCCCGCTGGGAGGGGGGCAGCCCTGGGAGAAGGTCCATGAAGGGCATGGGATCTGTGGTTCTAGGAATGTTCACACGCTGCCCTATGCACTCTGCACTTGAATGCGCAACAGTGGGACAGACTGTGGGGCTCTCAAGTGAGATAGGAGCCAAGGCTGGAGTTGGTGGCACCTCTGGAATCACCCTTAGAGATGCTCAGAGCCAACAAGAGAGCCTTGAGCATCCTCATCTGATGATGATGCTAGCAGTGCTTATGGCCTCAGACTTCCAGAGTCCCTGCCCCCATTCCCTAAACCCTCCCTCGGGTCTCCATCCCCTAGAGCTCATCTCCTTCCCCTGCACCACCAGTTGGGTATTCTGGGTAAATCAAGGCATGAAGCCACACGCGCCCCACATCCTCCCCCTGCTCAGCCCCTCGTGCTGCCTCAGCCCCACGTTCTCAGCAGCAGCCACACAGGAGAGCACACCGCAACCAAAACCCCCAGCCTCGAGTGAGCACCGGTCCCAACCCGCTCGGCTGCAGGTTAAATTTGCCCCAGCGAACAGCGAGCAGCCCTGGCTCCCCATGTAGAACTGCGCCAGCTATTTAAAGCCACGGACACTGAATGTGACAGCAACCAGAACACCACACGCGTCCGCTCCCGGACCCCTCTCCGACCCCCAGCAGTTGCGAGCAGATCCTGCCTGTGTGCTCTTTCAAAGGGAGAAGCTCAGAGGTTGTTTCGGTTCTTTTTTAAAGAGCAGAGCTGCTAAAACGAGGTGGCGGCGGCGGAGCAAAGTGTGTGTGAGCCTTCAGATGGGGTATTGGGAGACCACACCGATTGCTTTTAATAGCTGGGGTGACAGCAAACTGCTGGTGGGGAGCTGGGGGACAGGGCTGGAGGATGCTGTCAGGTAATTGGGGATGGTGCAAAATCACACAGCAGCATGGGGTGCAGAGAGCATTGCGGGGGTAAAGGGGTGGCAAGTAAAGTGCTGCACTTGGTGGAGGATAGCAATGAAACAGTGCTGAGCTCTGTACCCTGGCATAGGGGGGCATTTGCCCCAAAGGTCCCTGTCCCACAGGATGCCCACAACCTGCTGCTCAGAGCAGAACTAAGGAACCCAGCAGTGGGTCCAGGTCCACCCTCACCCTGAGCATGCAGTGCGCCCTGCTGCTGCCTCAGCCTCCTCTTTGCACACCTTTGTCAATCTGATATCATGGCCCCATTGCTGTGCCCCCCAGTGCTGTGGGATGCGCAGAGAAGGCTTTCCTTCTCCTTTCCATCCCACACCACAGTTGGGATCCCCCACCCAGACACGGTGAGGCAGGGTGGACACAGAGCACTCACCCAGGATCTTGCTGATGCTGGAGTTGTGCATATCTGGGAAGGCCTGCAAAATCTTCCTCCTCTCATCCTTCGCCCACACCATGAAGGCGTTCATGGGCCGTTTGATGTGGTTGTTGTTCCTGGACTCGGGGAAATGCCGCGTTCCTATGAGAGGAACCCAAAGGTTGGGTCAGAGCAGGAGGAAGGAGCCATGTGGCACTGCCCCACAGCACCCACTGTCCCCATACCGTCCATCTCACAGCTCAGCAGAGTCTCATCCAGGCGGTGTGTGGGTGTCTCCTCCATCCTCTCCTTCACAGGGGAAGCATCGATGCCAACGTGGTCCTGCAGGAAGAGTGGATGGAGTCATCGTGGGGTGCAGTGATGGAGGGGTTGGGGGGTCAGTCTGGGTTCGGCTCACCTTGCGGTAAGGGTGGCTCAGCGCTCCCTCCATGGCACCACTGTGGCCATGCAGCAGCTGCCGTGCATCCTGGATGGCTTTGGTGATGGCATCGCCCTCGCCCAAGAATCCTGGTGGGAAACCAGCCCAGGGCACCCATCAGCACCCCAAAATCCCATAATGCCTATCCCCAACCCAACAAAAAATGGGGCTGCGTGGCCCTGTGGGGCGGCACGGTGAACCCAGAGCACCCCCAACAAGGTGGGACTCCAAGGAGCAGAGCTGTCTGCTGCCTCTGGGGAGGTGTTGTGGGGAGGTTTTAGGACCCTCCATGGGTGGAGGTGATGGGAACCCACCCAAGGGCAGGTTGGACGGGCTGCTCTGCAGGTCTCGCACAGCCCCATGGCTCGGTGTGAGGGACTGGCAGCTGCTCATCTTCAAACTGGGTGAGCTGGAGGCACTGGGGAGCTCGGAGCCTTTGGGTTTGGCCGTCAAGTTCAGCGGCTGCGAGGTCTCCTGGGGCAGAGGGAAGGCAGGGTGTGATGTACAGCCCCTGGCACACCCAGGTGCAGGGGAACGGTGGGTGCTTTGGGGCTATAGAAGCACTTTGGGGCCATACCTGCATCTGGAGGTGGCCAGAGCCGCTGGGTCTCTTTAGCGTGGGAGGAGGAGGGCTGTGCAGCAGCTGCACGGGGTAATCCACTGCAGGGAACAGAGGAAGTGTTGGGGGATGAGGGCACCCCGCAGGCATTCCTGCACCCTGGGGACTCGACTCACCTGGCTTGCAGGGGATGGGCTGGATGGGCAGCGCTATCTGGGGGTCCTGGGTCACAGGAAGGGGCTGATGGCTGGGGGTGAAGGCAGGGATCATGACGTAGGGCATGTTGACCTGCTGGAGGAAAGAGCACCACGGATAACGGTTGTGGGATGGCATAGGTGGGCGGTGTCCCCACTGTCTGGCTCTGCAGGTGGGTACAGGGGTGTCCCCCACCTTTACCTGGATCTGTTGCTGCAGCAGGTTGATTTTGTGCTGCTGCTGGATGAGTTGCTGCTGCTGCTTCGCAATCTGGAAGAAAGGAGACAGAGGGGCTGAGCAATAGGAACAGGGGCTCCTGAGCCCCCATGGGGCTGCCTAAACCCAAAGGGGATGTTCCCAAGGGCATGGTGGGCTCCTGTGGTTGGCCCAGGAGATGTCTCAAGGGCCACAGGGAGATAAATGCGCTGGGAGGGACCATCACCATACACCACGTGCCAGAGATGCCAGCCCTGCACTTGGCACCGTTGGGTCACCCATACCCTGATGTCATCCTCAGACTTAACACTATTAGGGATAAGAGGAATAAATCAATGTTCAAAGAGCAAAGGAGGGGGCGGCCAGGAAGAGGCACGTTAAGGACTTCCTATGATTCATCCTCAACATGTAGATAAGGGATGGAGAGCTTTGACCCTGAGCCACCCCATAGCAAGCAGCAGGATGGGAAGTCTTGGGATGGGCACAGAAACAGGGATGGTTTCTGGGCAGATACCAAAAAGAGCTTCTTCCTCACCACTTCTAAAGGGATTCTGTCCCCTGATCCCTGTCCCTCTGGTCCTGCCTCTGTAATCAGAGGGTACCAAAGTGACCCCTGAAGGGACACTGGTCTCCTGAGAGCCCACCTGCTCCTGCTGCTGCCGTGCCAGCTCCATCTGCTGCTGCTGCTTCTCAAAGAGCATTGCAGCCATGTTCTTCTGCTCTGAGTGGGCTGTCAGGAGCTGATCCCGCAGCGTGGACAGCTGGTTGATCATGACGAGCAGCTGGAGCTCTTTCTCTGCCAGGCTCTCCTGGGTTCCTGCATAGGGAAGAAGTTGGGGGGCTGCTCAAGAGCAGCAGCATCACCATGGATGGGGGCTGTGGTCAGAGGGCTGTTCAAAAATCCCTCTGTGCCATCAGAGCAAGGTTTTAACAGGAACGCCCAGTTCTGGGTAATGAGTATTTTGGGTAAAAAACTACAAATCTCCACAAAACATGAGGCTGCAGACACACCTCCCCTCCTATTGATGGGGGAACGCAAAGCCATGCGGGCATCTGAGGGGGGCACAGAGCACTGAGGTGGCACAGAAGGGACCTCACCCTTCACTTCTTTGGTCTCAGCAGCGTTTCTGCCCAGCAGCCTCTCCTTCCAGTCGCTGGAGAGTAATTTCTCAATGGTTGGCATCACTGTCCCCATCAGCAGGCACCACAGTCAGCAGAGCAGAGTGGGGAGAGGAGAGCCAGGTGAGCACAGCCTGAAGCTCTGCACCGTGGCTCTTCCAATCCCAAACCTTTCCAAAAACAGAGAGGTCCCAGAAACCTTTCTTACCCTCTTTTAAGTTCTTGTTGAAGTCCAGCTTCTCCTGGCTGCCAACAGCCGGCTCGAAGGCTGAGCACCGCGGCTCCAGAGCATCACCAGCAGGTGAGCAGGATTCCTGCACACACAGAACATCACTGGGTGGAGAACCCATGGACAGGGACATCTACATGTCTCCAAGCAGGAGACATCAAGTTGATGGGGTGCTCAGAACTGATGAGGTGCTTGGAGCAAATGGGATGCTTGGAACTGATGGGATGTTTGGAGCTGAGGGATGCTCAGCGACATCCTGGACCACGTGCTCCTGCAGCACTTCCCCAGCTTGAAAGCATCTCAATGACTAAGCCCTGCTTTGCAGAAGGTTGCTATCATTTCTTTGGAGTGCTCTGCTTCTCCAAGCCCAGGGACTGAGAATATTGAGCAGAGAGAGAGGAATCTCGAGAGCAATTAAAACAGGAAAATAAGCGTGGCTCCTATCCTACACATGGGGACAGTGGAAGATGTCTGCAGGTGGCCCTGGAGAGCTGAATGCCAAAGGCAAATCCCAGGGCTGACCAGAGAGCACTGACAGCAGCCAAAAAGCCTGAGGGGAACCTCAGGTTTCAGCTTCATTTCCTCAGGATGAGGAATAAAAGCTCAGGAAAACGACAACCTCTGTCTGCCTGGGGTGGGATGCAGCGCACTGCCAGCCCAAAGGGACCAGGGCTCAGTCAAAGCCAGGAGCAGAGGTGGTTTCAGTGATGGGACCCACCTGTGGCAATGCCTGGGGGTCTGTGCCCTCTCTTGGTGGTGGTCCTGGGGGGTCGTTGGGATGGGGCTCAGTGCTGGGGGCAGCCCCTGGTGGGCTCTCGTAGCCACTCTCCTTCTTCTCCTCTGTCTTGATGCTGCAGTTCACCATGCTGCCCGCCCCATCGAGCTCCAGGTGGGGAGAAACGGGGCTCCTCATGGACATCCTGCAGAACAGCGGGGCTGTTAGCAGAGAGATGGGGGTCTCCCCTCCCCCCCACACACCAGGGGCACCCCTTTGCCCAGCCTTGCCCTGTGCTGGTGGTGAGGCTGAGCCCTGGGTGCCCTATGGGCTCTCCATGACCAGCACCCAGAGAAGCACCGTGGGGCTCAGAAATGTCCTAAGGGCATCCAGTGGGACACCAAGCATGGCCAGAACCAGTTTTTTTTCTCATGGGATGTGCCCTCAGCAATGTGCCACAGCCACATCCCCCACGCAGCCACAGCTTGGCACAGCTTGTGTCCCCAAATGCAACAAGCTGGGATCCCACTGCATCCACTGCAAACTCCCAGCAGGAATTCCCCCCCCCCTCCCCAGACCACCAGCCCTCACAACGCACAGCAACAACAGCACCAAATGCCCCCTCCCCACCTTTCACCTTTCAGGGAGGAATAATGGGAGAAGGAGACCATCAGGGATGGGATTTACACCGGGATGAAGGGCACAGGGGCCACGGTGTGCATCCTCCAGCAGGGAACACCCAGCCCTGCACCCATCAGGGGGTCCTGCCTGCACCCCACCATCCGGGGGCCCCCAGGACAGGACCGGGCTGCACCATCGGGGCAGCAGTGACACAACAAACAAAGCCCGGCTCAAGCTGCGAATTAATCAAACTGCTGAAAATAAAACCTTCCTCTCAGGAACTTCAAACAAAAGAAACGAAAACAACAAGGCCGGCTGGGTAATGAAAAGCCAGGGCTCTGAATAGGGGACAAAAGGAAGTGGAACAATAGGGTGTTGGACAAAAGCAATAAAGTAAAGGGAAGTGTGACAGCTCAACAATGGGGCACTGTGCGCGCCAGAGTTTCTGATCTTAGCAGGGCTTTTTTTAATCTCAGTTCCCTGCCCTTCTCTGTACAAACCCACGGTGCTCTCCGGGCTCTGGGCTTCCTCCCAGCTCCAGCCCTGCACGGTATCTGCCCGCATCCTGCAGCACCGCCCGCTCCCCCTTCCTGCCCCCTGCCCACCTCGGGGGGCAGCCCGGCAATGAGTCCATCCCCCCCTCCCCCCCCCGGGATCGATGCTCATTAAAACACCCCGCGGGATGGGGAGGAAATGGGCGCTGCTGGCAGCAGGAGCAAACAGGCGTGCAGCCAGCGGGATGCTGTGCTCAGTGTGCTGTGTGCATCCAGGTGCCCCGCGGTCTCCCAGAGCCCGAAGTGTTGCAGGTGGGGAAACTGAGGCAGCAGAGCGCAGCCCCGGGTGCTTTTGTGGCTCAGGAGTTGGTGAAGGAGTAAAGAAAGGAGTTTGGGTGGGTGCTGAGTGCTGCTCCATGTGCGTGGGGCTGCAACAGCAACAAGCTGAGCTCGGTATGGGAGAAAAGAAGCAAGGTTGGTGCTCCTTCCATCCCTTCTGAAGGCACAAAGCCCCGCTCTATGCGTTCCTGCCATCATTTCCCCTCTCTCCCTCCCGCAGGGATGCAGTCAGCCCAGGGATGCCCACACAGTGCACAGCACAGAGCGATGCCCGAGGCTGGAGGAGCACAAAAGCAAAGTGCCAGCGCTCGGTCAGGTCATCTTCCCATTGTGCTTCACCTCCCGGTGCCACTGGAAATTTACTCTTAAAACACGGCCGGTGCTTTAATAGGGGTCTGTGTGAAAGGGGCCTCATTGTGGGATTATTATACGGTTTGCTGAACAAAAAAATAAAAAAAAAAATAAAAAAAAGGGGGGAGAAGAAAAAGGAGAAAAGTGAGTGGTGATCTTGTTACAGGGCTTGTTCCCATAGCAGGGCTGCGCCGGCTGTCTCAGGTGTGCTCAGCTCAAGGGCTCCTCTGTTGCACAGACAATAGGGCCGGGAACAATTGCCTTGGCACAGGGAATACATCTTCATGTAAGAGATCTTCGCCTTTAATGTTTGCTATTTAATGAAGGGCGGAGGGGAATGGAGCGAACAGAGCACAGATGAGCAGTGCCAGCCTGGAGAGCCACAGCCAACAGTGCAAGCATGGGGACAAGGTGCACCCACAGATCAGCATGAGTGGGGCTCCTTTCCAAAGCCCTACGGCTGCCAACCCAGTGCACACTGCTTTGCTCACCTTACCTGCAACCAGGCTGCCCCAGTCAAAGCCCAGAGCTGAGGGCTGAGGTTTGGGGATGGCGACAGGCAGCTTTTCCTTCTCCATTCGTACCCCTCAATGGCACATCCTGCAATTCTCCCCTTGTGCTGTGCCACCCTTCCTGGCTAGGAGCTGATCCTATCTGCCCCGTTTGTGTCGCAGCCGAAAAGCTCGTTAGGGCAGGGGCAGAGCCAGCAACAGCCTGGCACCATGGGTGATGTCAATGTGACTCTTGCTGAGCCCCCCGGACTCCTAGAGCATCCCCTCATTCACTCACCAGTCTCCAGGCATTGCAGAAGACAGCACTCGCCTCTGCAAAGCAACAAGGGGGAAAAAAGCCAGCAGAGATGCGCTGCAGGCTGCACCAGGCTCAGAACTGAGGGTTCCTGCCCCTCAGCCCAGGGTAATCCCACTCCATGGGATGGCAGCACTGAGGGATCCCACAGAGTGGAATGTGGGAGAACATCCCAGCAGCTGATGGGGTGAATTGGGTTGCCTGGATTTTAGGATCGGTCCCACCTGCCCATCACCAAATGCACCAGCGGAGCCGAGAGGCAAATGGCTTTTTTCTTTTCCTCTTTCCACACAGAAAAAAATGTCAATTAATAGATTCCCTTCCACTTCCCCACACACACAGCAAGCCAGGGGAAAAGCACCAAGCATAGCCAAGCACAAAATCCAACAGGGGAGAACAGCACACAGCACAGAGCAGCGGGAAAGCACCGCAGGCACGAGCTGCGAGCACCCCCAGGAGAGAGAGCAGGGGGAAAAATAAACCACACACAGGTTCTCTCCTTCCAAGCAGGGCCCAAGGAATCCCTCCGGTCACCGGCACAGACAATAGCCCGTCTCCTGCCAGACGAGAGGACTGCTTTCCTGCCAGACTTGGAATGTCCTTTCGGGGCCCTTTCCAAGCGTTTCCACCCAGCGTGCCTTCGCACATAAAAGGAGGGATGGCTTCCTCCTGCCACGGCCACTGCGTGTCCAGGGGGGTGGCTGAGGTGAGGGACACAGCTGGGAACTTCACGAGGTTGCCATCCCATGGGGACGCAGGGACAGCGGGGTGCATGGCAGGGAGAGGGCAGCACTTCCTACCCTGGGATCGGGGCTCTGGTGTGCGTAAAAATAGAGGGTCATGGGGTCAAGTCTCACCTTTTTGAGCTCGCGAGGGATTGCAGCCAACCTCTGGCACTCCACACTAAGGCATATCTGCTGTCCCCAGCGCCGTGCTGTCACTAGCAGGAGGAAATGGTGACCTTTGGGGATGCAGCAGAGCTGGAAGCGCAGCCCGTGTGGCTTTCAGCCAAGCAGGACTCAGCAGCGGGGCTCCTGCACAGAGCCATTCACAAACACCCAACAGCTGAGGATCCATGCCCAGAAATGTCCAGTGTAGGACCATGAAAAAGCAGGTTTTAAGCCCAAGAGACACCTGGATGTCAGGATGCTGAAGTCACCCAGAAGCCACGGATGGCTGAAGCCATCCTGCTGCAGAGCTGCCATCACCTCGTGGCAGCCACAGCTCCACGTGTCCCCGCCAAGCCAGGCAGTGCCGCAGCGGAAACGCTCTGCGCTGGGGCGAGCCGACGCTTTGCACATCCTCTGCAACACCTCACCTGCAGAAAGCCCCAACCTCCACCTTCCCAGCATGCTGCCGAGTGCTGGCGTTGCTGAAAAGCTGCAACATCAGTGCCGAGAAGGGAGAGATTTGGAAAGCATTGCTCCCTGTTCATCTCAGCAAAACTTTGGGGGCTCACGGGCAAAACCGCAGCTCCAACAAGGGCTGGGATTTCCCAGTGCCCACACGGAACACTGTGCTCTTTGTCTGTTCACCGAAGGCTCCCCGTGGCTCTGATTGGAGGGTGATGGCCTCCGGAAACGTCCCTGTGGGCTCAGAGCACAGCGGTGACACCAAGGTGACAGAATTGGCATCATGGAAACTCTTGGCAATGGGCACGCAGGGGAGGTCACCCCTCTGTGTGCCACCCCGGCACCTGCTGCCACCCACATCCCCTCCATTCCCAGTCCAGTCAAGCCTGGGACCCATATCCCACAGGGAGGAGGATTCTCCTTTTGCTTCTAGAGGCTCAACTCTCCAGCACTGCCATGCTGGGGCTCTCGGTGGGGTGGAGCAGCAATTCTGCATCGCTCAAGCGGAGCGTAGAAGTGCACGGCTCCTGTTGCTGCACAGCCCATGAAGCTTTAACCCTAAAGCAAGAGGAGGATCCTGGAGGAGCAGAGTGGTGCTGTGGGATGCTCAGTGTGGGGATGAGACAGCAAAGCCCCGCATAATAATAGTAAGAGGTGAACACCGTGTGCTGCCATCCCTGGCACATGGGTCCCTTTGGCACAGCCTGCAGAGGTCTCAACCACACCACATCCCCGGGGCTCCTGGTGGCCCTTTTTACTCACAGTTTCCAGCTGGCTGTGAATTCTGCTCTCACAGGGCTTCCTAAGCTGCTCCTTACCACGCTGCTCTGGTTTCATACAAGATGGCAGAGGGACACATCACCGCCACGAGGCGCCTTCCTGTCCCCCCCCCAGCACAGGGGCTCAGCCAGGACCTCCCCCTGCTGCCAGCACCCCACATCCAGATGGGGGCAATGAGCCTCACAGCACAGCTCTGGGGGCATTAAATCACATCCAATGTACCCATATTCACCCCAAAGATATAACACAAGCACTACGTGCCCGGCAGCCGCATTGGAGCCACACAAATAACCCAATGCAACAGCAAGAGCCTTCCCAGGGCATCAACTTGTGCAGGTCCAAAGCAACAGCCCCAGCACGGGTTTCTTTGATGGGACGAGCGATAGGATGATTTAAGTAGAAGAAAAATCAAAATGACCATCAGGTGGACCTCCCTGATGGAGCCCATGGGATTTATCGGG